CTTGAGCCCCCTCGCCGTCCGCGCGCGCCCGCTGGCACGCCCCTCCCCGCCCGCGCGCGTGGCCGCCGGGCGCGCCCCGCCCTTCGGCCCCGGGGCTCGCTGAGGACTCCCGGCCTGGCTCGGGGCGCGCCTCGCGGGGGGAACCCCATCTAATCCGTCCGCCCCCCACCACCACCACTCCCCGCCCCAGGCTCATTAAAGGGGCGGGACCTACTCCCTTAGCTTCTTTCTCTTATAAACTAGCAGCAAAAGTTACCCCCCAGCCTTGGCCGGGCGTGCACGGAGACTAGGGGTTGTCCATGAAAAATGTGCGGGCGTTGACCACCCTCTTGAGAAGTGTTGCCGCCGGCCTCTCGAGTCCAAAGCCCTGGGAAATACCTAGTTCAGGCCGGGCGTGTGGGCTCTTCGCCGGTAATCCCAGCACTCTGGATGCTGTTGACACTGGAGGATCAAGAGTTCAAGGCCTGAGTTCAAGATCAACCTGGGCTATTTAGGGACCCCAGTCCAAATAAATTGAAAAATAAAAATAAAAGAAGATGCAGCCTGGCTGCACATTCCTGTAGTCCTGCTTGAAAGGCCTGAGCTCCAGGGCGTAAAGGTCACCGGCTACCACTTGGTAAACTGGGGGAGTTGCTCATGTCTGCAACAGTCTCAGACCTCAGTAGACAGAGGCAGGAAGATTGCCCAGAGTTAGAAGCCTTCGTGTGCTGCATAACAAATACCAGGCCAGCCGTAGCTACGGCTACGTAGTGAAACCTGTCTCAAGCAAACCTTTTGTCTCCACCCTCAGACCCTCTTTATCCTTACTAATTGTCGTCTTAAGCTTCATGAGGTAAAGTGCTTTCAAATTTCAAACTCTAACCAAGGGAAATTGAGTCCTTGTGGGAGTCGAGACAAAGCCAAGTCGCATTTAGTGCCCGATGTCTTGTAATGGGGACAGGGAGTCTCATTTCCTAAAATGCCTTCTTAGCCTGCCTTTCATGTCTTCCTAAAACGCGGGCCTAAGTAGCCTTTCCTACCAACTGAAGTTTCAAGGCCTGCATCACCTCATCTAAATGTGTGAACCTATTGTTAGTGCTACAACAGGGAGCAGCAGGTAGGTCCCACAGGACTGGACATGGAACCTCCCAGACCTTCAGGTTTCTCTTTTGACAGCCTCCATGACTTGAATTCATCTTGCTATCTGGCACAAAATTGGATAAATTGGATGTAATGGTACAATGGAAGCTGTAAGGTACTTGACCACCAAAGATTTCAGTGACCTTTTTGTTTGGTTGGTTTTGATTTTGGTTTGGTTTTTTTGAGACAGGGTTTCTCTGTGTAGGGGTGGCTGCACTGGAACTTGCCTTGTAGACTAGACTGGCCTCCAACTCACAGAGATCCACTAGCCTCTGCCTCCCAAGTGCTGGGATTAAAGGTGTGTGCCAACACTGACGGGCAATAAGTGACTTTTTTTTTTTTTTTACTAATACTGTCTCCCTGTGTAGCCTAGGCTAGCTTCCAAGTTGTGGTCTTTCAGCCTCTGGACTTGGTCTTACAGGTATAGGCCACTGTGCACCAAACTCTTTTCATTGGGACCCCTATACATGGAATCCGATTGAAAAAGAACTCTTAGTTGAATAAAATTGAAGCCAGATAAATAAATTAAAAAATAAACAAAACAAAGAGGCAGACATACCTCTGCGTTTTCAAAACCACAAAACCAGCCTGGTCTACAAATCCGAGTCCAGCCAATGCTACACTGAGAAACCCTGTCTCAAAAAAAAAAAGCAACAACAAAAACTTCCTTTCCATTGAACTGCTGAAGAGAAAAACTTTGTTGATGGCTTGGGCCAGTAATCCAAACACTTGCAGGTTCAAGGCAAGAGAACATGAGTTAAGTCATTTTCAGCTAGTTTGAGGCCAGTTTAGGATAGGTGACACCCTGTCCCAAAAGAGGAAGAGCCAGGCACAGTGGCCCAAACCCACTGTGTAACCTAGAATAACCTTGAACAATTGATCTTCCTGTCTACACCTCCCAAATACTGAGATTAAAGTCATTGACCAACATGCCCATGTTTTTTGCAGTACTGGGAATCAGAGTCAGGGAGTCCTGCATGCTAAACAGCTCTCTCCCAACTGCCTCTATCTCCGATCCAGCTACCCCCCCCCCACACACACACACACAGGCTTCCTCTGTGTAGCCTTGACTGTCCTGGACTGTTTGTAGACCAGGCTGGCCTTGAACTCAGAGATGTGCCTGCATCCACCTCCTTACATGTTGGAATTACAGGCATGCCCCACCATGTCCAGCTGTAAATGATTTTCATGTCTATGTATTTATTGGATTTTGATGGTGGTGGTGGTGGTGTGTGTGTGTGTGTCTGTGTCTGTGGAAAGTGTCTCAGGTAGCCCAGGCTGGCCTTAAGCTCTCTATGCATCTGAAGATAAACTTGCTCTGCTCTGCCTGCCTGGGAGCCATACACCAAGCAAGACATACGTGACTTTTTTTTAGACTTCTGAGCTTCTACTAAACTTGTCAGATCTGAGGCCAGAACTTGCCAGAACCCCAGAAGCAGAGACAGGAGGAGGGTCACAGGCAGCCTAATCTACACAGCAAGCTCTGGGCCTGCCAGAGCTGTGTAGAGAGACCCAGTCTGTGAAATGGAAGAGAATGAAGACAAGAACTATTTCTTTTATGTCCAGAAGGGAACGGCTTTTTACAGTTCCTGGATGAATGTCCTTCATTTCCTCAGAGTGACTGCTAACTGGAAATGGTTTATTAATTGTGGATTTAGTCCCTCTTATTGTAATGCAAATAGAGCAATGGCACATGGCAGCTGCATTCATTTAACATTTGCAGAGGCTCTTGTTCAAGGAATGGAATATTCAAAGTGACCCAAATTATCATGACATGCAGGACTCAGGTCAAATTCAAAGCCAAATTACAAATCAATAGACTTCCTGAGGTGGGGGGTGAGGGGGACTGGTCCTATAAACTTGAATTCTTAATTGTTTTTGACAGACCAAAATCTATTTTGCTGTCTCCGAAATTTAAGGTCTACAAGATAAAGACTCTGCTCTGTGAATGACTTATTTTCTCAGCGGTCTTTCCGGCGTGTTTAACCCCTCAGTCTTTCATTTCAATCATCTCATGCTCTCAATCATATTCCTCTCCAGAGATATGCTTCAAAGTTTGGTAAAAATACTGTTTTTGAACTTCCATGTGCTTTTCATTTCCAGCGCTTTCATCTTTTCCTTGAAAATCGCTTGGTTTGACTGGCCCCACACCAGTGCTATATTGGAGTTTAATAATCTCCTCTAAAAGTTATGTCTGCTTGGAGGCTTATGTAGATCAAAAATTAGAGTACAATGTTTCCATCCTGGTGTTGACATTTCTGTCTGACCTCTGTGGTCACCAATGAAAGGAAAGAAGGTCTCTGAAGGACTGATGTAAACAACCTCTCCTTGCCAAGGAATTTCCAACGTAAAACTCCCGGGGGAGATGCAAGAAATATCTCCTTTTGAAATTTTGTTTTGTTTTCATTTCCAGTTGTTTTTGTTGTTTTGTTTTTCTTTCTTTCTTTTTCTTTTTCTTTTTTTTTTTTTAAAGACAGCATCTCACTTTGTAGACCCTAGCTGACCTAGAACTCACTAAATCAGTGGTTCTCAAATTTTCTAATGCCCCCACCTTTTAATACAGTTTCTCGTGTTGTGGTGACCCCAACCATAACATTATTTCATTGTTACTTTATAACTGTAGTTTCTCGACTATCTAATGTGCAGTCCCCCAGGGGTCCCAACACACAGGTTGAGAAGCAGCGTGCACTAAATAAACCACGCTGACATAGAATTCAAAAATCGGCCTGCTTCCACCTCAGAGAGTGGAGATTAACAGTATGTGCCACCACACCTAACATTCATTTATTCTGGTTGTGTGTTTTCAAACACACCAGGCAAGCATCTGTAGAGGAATTTCAATTCAGAACATGGCTGCTCTGGCCAGAGATCCCATCCAAAGACCTTCTACAGCTGTGTGATCCGGCTGTAATGCAGACACGCCTTTAACGCAGACATGCCAGGAGACAGAGACAAGCAGATCTGAGTTCAAGGACAGCCTCCTTTAGAGCAAGTTTCGGGTAAAGAAAAGCTTAGGTCCAGGCGTGGTGGTGGTACAGGCCTTTAATCCCAAACAGTGAAGGTGAAGTTAGTTTGTAGAAGGAAGCACCCTTATTTGAAAGTGATGTTTAACTGGGTGGCAGAAAAGGTGACAAATCAAAGATTTGACAGAATAGGATACAACCAGCTCTCGGGGAGGAGAGGAAAGGGAAGCTATTTAAGGGGCAATGCAGAGAGAGGAGGAGGCAGTTTTACCAGAAGAGTTTTCCAGAGAGAGGTTGAATGAGAGTATAAACTAGACACAGCTGAAGACAGAAGTAGCCAGATAAGGAGCCAGAAGACTAAAAAAAATTGCTGGAGTTAGTTTGAGGCCAAGCAGAGTAATTCAAGGTCCGAGAAAAGCCAGATTG